TACAACGCGAGGCTTCTTCAAATGGCGGAGGCTCCATTGACATTGATTCTTCCTCCCTTCCTTCGAATTCCGATTGTGATTTGCTCAAATAGAATGTGCACTCACAGATTACTGTGTTTTGTTTTTACTTTTTATCCATACTTTTACAGATTTTGTAGTTTTTCAGTAAAGTTCAACGCAGCCGCTCGAGTGAAATTGCATCATGGCTACAGGAATTTGTTTGTCTCAAATTGATCCCTAAACATTATTTTCAAGATAGCACACATTTTAATTGCAATCAACATATTTAACTTTTGCTCATCCTTTTTTTTTTTTTTTAATCGTATTCTTATTTTTAGCCTTCTTTAATTTGCACATCTTATCTTTGATGATGGTTTCCATCCAAAAAATACTTTAGGAGAACATAAAAAACTTAGTTACCTTTCGTATTTCTAAATTAAATAAAAGAAAATTTGTAGTTATGGTCCTAAGTCTTTCCATTATTTGTAGCATATATCCAAATTTTTTATTTATACCATCCATAGTTTCAAACTTTTCATTTCATTGTAACAGAAAGGCAGATGGACGTATTCACTGTTAGTTGAGCAAATAATTAAAAAAATTGAGTTATTTTCACCAATGGAAAAAAGTAAAATTTTAACTTCATATTTTTCACATAAAATAATTTAAAAACACTATTCATATTATTCTCAAAAAACCCTCCCCGCAACCAATCAAATCCACCAATCCCTGATTTTATTCTTCAAGATACAGAAATTAGTGCAAAATTCATAGTCCATCATGTTAGAAATATTAATAATGGAAACACACGAAATAGAGTAAATTTGCAAGACCTGAACACACAATTAACATTGTCCTCAAACCAAGTTTGCTTCTTCTGCAATTACTTTTAATAATTCAAACGGCAAATAGTTCGAAGGATAAATCAAGAACTTAATGAAGGAAACCAAAGCACGAGTGTTTCTTCGTATTAAACAAATGAAAACGTTGGAAATGAATATGTAAAAGAATTTGGTAATCCCTCTTTGATTATTTGAAATGATTGTACATAATAAAAATTGTGTTTTGATATGGAAAATCATCACCTATTTATAGTTTTTCATTGCCACATCTCGAAATGGTCTTAACCATTCATAAAAAGATGGAACTTTTCATCCAAAAGACACAAAAATTCAAGTTGCAAAACCAACCTAACAACTAGTTTTTTTGTGCCCATGCGAAACCAAATGCCCAAAATTGTTGTTCACCACTCATTCTAAAATTCAGCCAATTTAGGGCCTAATTACTGTCAAAACATAACGCGGTAGTTGTAGTACAGCTTTGAGGTGTCGATTCCACATAGAGATAAACAAATTGTTTAAAAGATTTATCGAACTAGGATTTCATAAATTATGTGAAAATAATTTGTTAATTGGAATGAGATTTAAGTATCAATATGCGAGATTAGTGAAGCGTTCGAATTCCTTCAATTGGATTGGATCATCAACATCAATAATTCATGACTTTTTGCTCAACTAGAGGTTTTCGTCTCAACTCTCTAATCGGAAGATTTAATAATGAAAATCAATCAAATTTCAACTGTAGTCCTAGGATCTAGATTTTTGTAAATCATTCCCACACATATTTATTGGACTAAGATTAAGAATCGACTATATACACAACGCATAAGGCAGTAAATAATCCACCAATAAAGTTGATTGAAATTGAAATTCAACAATTAGTTCAATTCCATTATAGAAAAAAATGATTAAATCTATGAAGAATCTAGTAAAAGTTAAATCAATTTCAAAGTAAATTCATAAAAGAAAATCTAGATCTAGAAGTGTTTGACAATAAAAATACCAATTTGCATGAAAAAATTATGCGAAGTCGCCAAATCCAATAAATTCCTTCGTAGCTTCACCTAGGAATTTAGTTCTCCATCGAACTCTTTAGCCCAGGGTGAGAGAAAATTGTTATAGAGGTGAAGAGAGGCGTGTTCTGTCCAGTCTAGGGCTTAAAACTGTGTGCCAAGTTGTTTCCAAAAGAGGTTGAACCAAATAAGGAAACTAAATTTTCGACTAGAATATCCTGTGCGACTACTTTAAGTATTTTGATCATAACTTTATCTTCCGATGTCCGATTAAGACAATTCTAAGTGCATTGGAAAGCTAACACGAAAGGCTACAATTTTGCTGAGTAGCTCTTTCCAAATTTGAAGGTTTACTAGGTCAAAAGTCGATCTCAATCTCCAGCTGAAAATCTGGAAAATCCTTATGTTGTTGGAATTTGATTTGTGAAAATATTATAGTCATATTTAACTTCTTTTGACTTCTAATTACACCCAATTGACCACATATTTCCCTTTCAATTGTCTACTTTCAAAATTGGAGGGCCTAAAGCTAATAAATAAATATGAACAAAACGGGAATCAACCCAATCAAAAGATAGGGACTGTCCTTTTTTGACTCACCCAAAATACTTTCTAGCTTTCTCGAATCATCATTCAATCGCTCGTCTCATCTTTAGATTATTTGCAACTTGGTTCCCGAACTTTCACTTTCTTCCATTTTGGTTTTTTTCGCTCTTTTCTTCTAAATTTCATATTTTCTATCAAAATGCAACCTGAATCAAAGCATATGTAAAATTAGTGCATTTTAGTATCAAATAATCACACAAATGCAATAATTAAAAGGGAAAAATATTATATTTTACACTCTTATGAAGGCCCACTAATGGATATTGATTTTTAAACAATATATCAAACCCTCTTTCGGCCCCCTATTATTCTCCATTAAATTATAATTCATTTTTCTCTCTTTTTATCAATAGTACATTCTCCAATAAAATAATAATACACATAAATTCAAAAAAAATTCTTTGTTAGCTACACATTTTTAAAAAATTATTATTTCTTTCGTTATGATGTGAAATAAGGGGGCCCAAATGGGTGCCAACACTTCATACTCTAATCCAAAAACCTGAAGGCAGTAATAAGAGTAGTAGCTCTATCTCATTAGTCACCGCAAATGGCTTCTAGTTTTCATGCACTTTTTCAACTTCACTTTTTGTTGTTTCACTTTCATCACCAGCAGGAACGCTGCTAGACAGTGGCGAGCCTGATTTGCAGGCGGGGTAGCGATCGCCTAAGCATGGACAAACCCACATGGGGTAATATAGGGTCACTTGATCCTACAATTTTTTTTTATTTTTTTTTCAGAAAATAGTATTTTGACCCTTTACGACCTACTTTGATGTACTCATTACAGAATATCAAATGAAATTAAAAATATGGCATCTTTAATACATTTTCGAAGTACTCATGACCTAGATTTTTGCTCTTTAATGGTGTGCAAAACGACCAACTGTAACAAAAGTTACGACACATCAAAGTAGGTCGTTCTAAACTAATATTTCGAGAATTTCGATAATATGCTAACTTTCAAAATCTGCCAATGATTGTATACTATCTGAATCTACAAATCACCTACATCATTCGCTTTGAGAATTTTATCGTAGTCATATTGAATGATTCAAACGGATATAAAAAATGGTTAAATATGTGTCAAATATATACCTTAAAATAGATGTCTAACTCATCTTCTATTTAAAAAGAAATTCAATTATTTCATTAACGTTTATTATCTTTACATGATAAGTTTTTCAGGGCTTGTTCGGTAGTAATTATTAGAATTATTTTTTGATCGTTAGAGAAAAATGTGGATTCCACCTATGAGTGGAGATGTCAAAAATCACGGTTAAAATAATGAAATAACGTTCAAAATTTTGACTTTTTAGGGTGAAAAATTGCTACTAAATGGGAGCTTTATATAATTTATATCATTTTTTTTTTTGGGAAATTTTATGTGGCATACGACGTCAAAAATTTTAGAATCGTTACAAATTAAATATAATTTGAATTATTTTCGAATTGCTTTTGCATTAAATTTGATTTACTTGTCGTTAACTTAATATCTGTCAATGAAATGATAAACAAAACTATAAAAGTAGCAAATTTATTTAATAATATTGATAATGATATAATTATTTTCATTAATATTACATTGTTTTAAAAAAATTATACTTTAAATTTTGACCTCACAACACAAAAAGTCCACTTCGATGAGAACCCAAAATTATGCAAGGTTAATTGGTTGGTTGAAAAAAAAAATTATATTTATGAAATTTTTTAAAAAAGAATTATCATATGCAAACACAAGAAATTAATAAAATTTGAAAATACAAAAATCATTTAAAAAAAATATATATATATAAACTTAGAGTAGTGCTATAAATAACTCATTTAATTTCACATATAATTTAGTGTCACATTAGCGCCAAATAGTAGCATTACTCTAAAACTTACTGTTTACATTTATTTATCAAGTACATATATCACAAATATTACTTATTCTCTAGCTAATTTGACCATGTATCTTCCAAATATTCCTTTCTTCTTTTAACCAAATAAAAGGTCTTTTTATTTCTTCAAAATTCACGTCCAATAGCCACCCACCATAATTTTTTTCAACCCAACAAAAAATAAAATATCTCCCTTCAAATTAAAATTTTGACGATTCAATTTAGTTGATTGGTCTGATCTCATTGTCGTTGTTATGATCTTATATGTTTCTTGCTTCT